GATTTCTGAGAGTCAGAGGTAATTGACAAGTCCAGCTGGATTAACTCTCAAAGGAGGAGATAACACTAACCTAAAGAACAGATCAGAATGTCATGTGTCTACCTAGGGCCAGAATAGAGTCTGTTGTCGAGGGCGTCCATACTCAGTGGCCTTAAGGCTCCTGTAACATTCCCCCTTCAAGAATGGGGACCTAAAATTATTTAGGAGATAGGCTGAAATTTGGGGATAGATATAACTTACTTTTACTCTGGAAATACAGAGTTCCAGCTCCAAACTTTTTTGCCGGGTGAATGTTTGAACTGGAGTTTGAGTCACCCACCCAATCACAGCCTGTAGACAGGATTGTTCATGTAGGAGGAGATAAAAAAAAAACAGGACTCTTTCCTGCCATTTGTAGTTGGAGAACCGAGGACAGTTCCTGCTTCTGACCAAGGACCATAATGGAATTGTTCACTTTTGGGGACCCTTCTCCTAAACTGCATAGCTGATTTCTGTCTCCTGTTCTCATTAATATATCTGACCAGAGATAAGATGGGGATTTCTATGTTCTCAAGTTAGGATTTGGTTATTACTAAGTGACCCACAATATTCATAAAGATCATATAATGTATGTCCTGTGATGTCAGTCTACTCAACAGATGTACTCAGTGTTCATCCAAGGTGAACCATGTGACATAATTTTTTCTCTTTTTAAAACTGAATCATTTCCCAAGATCCATGTATGCGATGTTCACTCATGGGTTGTTGCACACTTGGGTTGCTTCTGCTTCCCAGTTGTGGTGGCTATGCGGACATGAGCTTGGCTGGGCCAGTATCTCTTGGAGCACTTAGTCTGCTCTTCATCCTTTGGGTATTGTGTTAGTTAGTTTTCTGTTGCTGGGATAAAATACTCTGGCCAAAATCAACTTAAAGATGATAGGTTTATTTTGGCTCAAAGTTCCAGGGGAATAGAGTCCATCATGGTAGAGAAAGCATGGCATAGTGGCAAGAGAAGGAAGCTGGCTGATCATGTTTCTTCTACCCACAGGAAGCAAAGGTAGAACAGGGCAGGAAGGGAAGTGATCTATATACTCTCAAAGCCTATCAGTGATGGACTTCATTCCACAAAGGTCCACTTCCTAAAGGTTCTATATCTTTCCCAAATAACACCACCAACTGGGGATCAAGTACACAAGTAGATGAGCCAGTGAGGGACAGTTCTCCTTCAAACCACCATATTCTGCCACTGGCTTCCAGAGGCTCATGATAAAAAATTACTTTTAGTCCAACTTTTAAAGTCATTAGTCTTTCAACAGCTACAGCACTGTTCAGAAGTTCAAAGTCTCTTCTAAGACACGAGGTATTTTCTTTTTTTTTATAATTTTTTTTATTGGATATTTTATTTACATTTCATATGTTGTCCCCTTACCCCATCCCCCACCCACCCGGGAACCCCCATCCCCTTACCCCTCCTCCTTCTTCTCTGTGGATGTAACCCCTACCTACCCCCCCACTCCCACTTTCCCACCCTCAAAATTCCCACCCCCTGGGGCGTCCAGGCTTCATGAGGTCAAGGATCTCATCTTCCACCTATGCCCTCCACTCTTACGTATTCAGCTGAAGCCCTGGATCCCTCCCTAAGTGCTCCCAGGCTGGTGGTTTAGACCTTGGGAGCTGTGGTTGGTTGGTATTGTTGCTCTGACACGAGGTATTTTCAAGAAAATTTCTTAACTGTGACTCAACTGTGAGACTGAAAGACAAATTATATACTTTCATTATAGAATGCCACAGAATATACATTTGCATTCCATATAGTGAGGAAATACCAGACCAAAGCAAGACTGAAACCCAGCGGTGAAAACACCAAATCTTGTATCTCCACATCCAGTATTAAGAGTTATAGTTTCAAGGGGCTTAGTGGCTCTGCTCCTCCAGCTTTGCTGCTTGCGACATGTGTCTCTCTGATGGGCTGGTTCCACTTGCTTTAGACAGATCTCCTTGGCAGATAACTCATGGCTCTGGCATCTCCCAACATCTTGGGATCTCTGCCACAACACAGGCTTCAAGAGTTCACAACTTAACACAAAGCCCTCTCAGAGGCTTTGTTCTTGCCACATGTTGCCTGGCCTCAGGAACTCAGATGACTAATCTTGGTTGTCAACATGACTGCATCCGAAGTAATTAAAACCAAGTAGCTGGGCAAACCTGTGAAGGATTTTCCTTGATTGGATCATTTTATATGGAAGATCCACCCTAAATCTGTATCATTTGAGATTGGAAGACTCACTTTAAGTCTGGCCCACACCTTCTAGAGGCTTCTCACTAATCACATTGAAGAAGGGAGCTTTTGCTCTTTGCACACTTGTTTTCACTCTTTCTGGAAAATTCATCTATCCAGTGGTTTGGATGTTCCTTTGCTGGTATTAGAATGTACTTCTTCAGTCTTCAACTGAATATGGGCAGCCCTCTCTAGGACCTTCCTGAAGTGTGAGCACCAGTTCGGGACTGCTGAGCTATCCAGCCTCGTAGACTGAAAAACTACAGGACTCTTAGCTTTTCTGTTGGGAGACAGCTATTGTTGGATTAGCCAGGCATGATAAATCCCCTTTTAATATATGTATAGATTAATTCTATCAGTTTTGCTTCTCCAGAGAATCCCAACAAATAGACCAGCTCTCTGAAATTCTGGAGAAAGAACCAATGATTTTCTTAATCATGCATCTTTCATGCCTCAAAAACCAGAGCATGGGGGTGACACTGCCCAGTTCAGCTGCCAGTGTGGAATAGACACCGGCCCTTCCCCTTGAACCGTAGCCGCAGAAGTTTCTATATACTGACGATGTGGAAAACCTTGGCTAAATGTTTGTTTTCTTTGAACAGAAAACCTCTTAGACTTTCTCTTGTCACAAGTTGTATGCTTAGCTGGGAGAGGCCTTGCCCTCAGAGTACCTTTTCTCCCAGGGCAGAGCACAAAGATTTTCTTTGTAATATTTTTCTCTAAAAAATCGCAGCCTTTTTTTTTCCCCAGCAGATGTCTTTCTGGCAGCCTCATGCTTCCTTCCATTCTCTGTTGCTTTTCTTTATTGTAGGTCTGCATCAGAGTAATTAGTAATAACCACATTACGGACTTGGTATTATGCTGTGTTCAAACTTCCTCTGCTTAAGAATTAGTCCATCACTCTTTATTCTGGCCTCATAGAAGTTCTTAGGACATAAGCAAAATACATACTAGCTAGCTAGCTTGCTTGTTTGCTTCCTTTCTTCTTTAATCCTCCCATTCCTCTCTCCCTCCTCTCCCCTCTCTTCCTTCCTTCATTCCCCCTTCTTTCCTCAGTACCAAGACATTTTTCTCTTTTTCATTATATACATGTACATACATATAAATAGAACCTGCTGAGTCTACTTAGTTTTGCTTGTGTGTATGTTTCCAGGCTGACCACTTGGTGTTGGATACCAATTACGAGGTTAATCTCTGAAGAATGGTTTCTCCCTCTCTCAGCAGTCATTAATTACCTATAACTCTTCATCTAGTGTGGAGGGCCTTGTAAGACTTCCCCCATTCACTTTGGCATGCTAACTAGTCAGCTGGCTTTTTTATTGTTTACTTACTTTTCTTTTATGTGTGTGAGTGTTTTGCCTACATGTATGTATATGTACCAGGTGCCCATGGATGCCAGAAGGGGGCAAGGATCCCTGAACTGGTATTAAAGACAGTTTTGAGCTACCACGTTGGGTTCTAGGAAGAGAACGTGAGATAGCGGGGCTATCTCTCTAGTCCTCAGCTAGATTTCTTATATAGCCTAGGAATGACTGTGTCTACTCAAAACAGTCATCAATCCAGACAGTCCCTCACGGACAAGGCCACAGACCAATGTGATCTGAGCAGCTCTTCAGTTGTTGGTCCTTTTTGCCAGGTGACTCTGGGTTTTGTCAAGTTGTCAGTAAAGCCTAACCAACTCAGATACACACCAAGAAGTGCATTGAATCATATGATAGTTCTGTTGTTAGGGTTTTTGAGGAACTGCCATACTGTTTTTCATGGTAATTGTGTGGTTACAAATTTCTCCCATGATGTTTGGGAAAATAGCCCTTACTTTAAAAAAGTGGCCCCTCATAATGACTTGACAGAAAGTACAAGTAGAGCAAACAGCAGAGAAGACCTATCCTCATAGAGTGTTTGCATACCAAAGAGGGCCCTCTCAGGGGTGGCTAAACATGGTAGTTGGCTTTTCGGTTAGAAGCAAACTTTCATGCACTGGTTCACATGAAACAGGCACTTAATTACAGAGAAACTGGGATGTTATCTTCTGTATGACAGTAATATCACAGGCCTCAGAAGTTGCTGAAATGTTAGTCTTGGTGGCCTCTTGTCCTTGGTGTGGCCTGCACTGTGTGGTGAGGAAACAGGCTTAACTTTATTTACCTAGAGATGGAGAAGAGTCAGTGCATTCCAATCAAAATCTCCCAGGGAAAGGGACTGTTCAGCCCCACACAGAGCAGTTGCTGCCTCTGTTGTACATGCCTCTTGGATGTGGCCAGGGAGATGGAGTTGACCAGTACAGAGCATCAATCTCTGGGAAGTGTGTGGATAGTATGAAGCAGCAGAGACCTGGGAGAAAGGAAATGAAGACATAAACAGGGTGTGCTCTGTGCTGTGTTAAGTCAGCAGTCCATTGGGAGCATGTTGAAGCAGCATAAAAAACAGTGGAAGTCCTGGGTAAGTTATTACAGTGACAGGAAGCAAGCAGATGGATTGCTTTCTAAATGGGATGTGGAGAGGAAGCAACGGCATGGCCTTCACCTTTTGAGATCATGGAGCAATTCTCCCATCAAGCCTTAATTAGCTTTAATGATAGTCACTGACTGCCTTACTGCTGTGGATCAGATAGCAGCAGGCTAGGCCTTTTTATGTCCACTCTCTCATTCAGGGTTCTCCCCAGCCATGGATGCTCACTGTTTGCTGGCTGAGTCTTCTGAACTGTACTTGTGCAACAGGACTAACACTGTTCTTTCCCTTTCAGAGATGTGGTACTGGATCTTCCTCTGGGCTCTCTTCTCCTCTCTGTTTGTTCACGGTGCTGCAGGCGTGTTGATGTTTGTGATGCTGCAGAGGCACAGGCAGGGCAGAGTGATCTCCATCATTGCTGTCAGCATCGGGTTCCTGGCTTCTGTAACTGGAGCAATGATTACTAGTAAGTTGACTTGTTTTGTTTAAGGACATAATTTCATATGCAAATACTGCTTTGGCAAGTGCTATTTTTATTGTAAAAGAAAGAATATCTTTCATGTAGACTGCACCTCAGCACTTTACAGCCTAGAAGGCAACGGTGAGTTGATTTACTCACCAGACAGATAGCACATTTCACTGTGTGTGTTTGCTCTGCATGAATTTGTAAGAAATGGCATTGGCAAGGGGTATTACTGGCTCAGTCTGAAAGTGTTTATAGCATAAATAGTTTCTGCTTTAAATATGCCTACTGTCTACTAAGAAGAGAAGATAGGCACTAAAATCCAACAGTAGCAGTTGTCATTTAAGAACGCCTTTGAGTCTGTGGGCTCATCTGCCTGTGACAACATTGCATTTTTCCTTTGCTGCTTATGACAAAACTTCTCTGTTCAGGAAATGGTCAAGTTTTCTGCTCAGCTGTCTTGTGCAGTTTCTTAACCTGTCACCTGGTTTTGTTCTCCTAACGCTGAACTTGGCCCTACTCCACCCCTGCACTTGAGAGAGTTAGTTCTGGTTTCTGGGGCTGCTACTTGAGCTCAACCCAGCTGCATCATCGAAGCACCACAGCTGCTTTCTTCTTACTGGCCTGTGCTTATGGCTGGTGACTTACTTCCCTGCTGCTTTTGAGACATAGGCTTACACGGCAGGCATTTCCTTTGGGCTGTCTCCTACACTGTGGGCCGCCTATTGCTGCACTACATCTCCTACACTGTGGGCCGCCTACTGCTGCACTAC